GAGAGGCTTGATGGAGAAGGTCAGAGAGAATAAGGAACATCTACATATGATTTTTATTGATTTAGAAAAATCTTACGATAAGGTTCCAAGAGATATTCTTTGGAGAGTTCTAGAGAAGAAATATATTGATATGACTTATATTCAAGTCATTAAAGGTATGTATACTAGAGCTATTACTTGTGTTCGAACAGAAGGAGGTAGAGTTGTTACTTGTGTTCGAACTGAAGGAGGATTGGCCAATACGTCAAGGATCGGCTTTAAGCCCATTTCTTTTTGCTTTAGTTATGGATGCTCTTACCGGACATTTACAGGAGATTGTACATTGTACCTTCGCGTATTCTTTTCTCTGATGATATCCTTCTCGTGGATAAGACTAGAGAGATAGTTCAAAAACAGCTCAGGAAAAACTTGAATTATGGAGTTTTGCATTGAGGTCTAAAAGCGTTCATTTGAGTAGAACTAAAATGGAATACATGGAATGTTATTTAAATAGTAGTAGATCTAGTGTAGAGTTGTAACTATGTGTAATCAAATTATTAAAAGGTTTGACTGCTTTAGATATCTCAGGTCTATTGTTCTAAGAGATGGTGATATAGATGGAGGTGTTATTAGTAGAATTTAAGTTAGTTGGTTGAAGTGGAGGAATGCTTCGGGCCTATTGTGTGATAGAAAGGTACCACTTAGATTGAAAGAAAAATTTTATAAGATGGTAGTGAGACCTGCAATGCTCTATGACATGGAATGTTGGCCTTTAAAAGAGAAGCATAAAACTAATTTAAGTGTTGCCGTGATGAGAATGCTTAGGTGGATGAGTGACTTTACACTTAGAGGCAAAATATGAATTGAATATATTCGTGATAGGGTTGGTGTAGTTACAGTGGCGGACAAAATTAGAGAGAGTCGTCTTAGATGGTTTGTTCACATTAAACATCTACCCTCTGATGATCTGTACCATCTGATGATCTGATTGGGAGAGTGAATATTTTAGATTCAACTTATGTTAAGAAAAACTGAGGTAAATCTAGAAAGACTTTGACATATTGAATAAAAAATGATCTTAATTTACTAGAATTAAATGAAAATATGACACTCAATAGGACACAATGGATAAAAAAGATTAATGTAGCCGACCCCACTTAGTGGGATAAAGATTTGTTGTTGTTGTTGTTGAGTGATTGATGAGTCATATTTGTGCAAAAATACCTGATATTGTTGCATGTAAATATTTACTTAAAGGTGTATGTGTTCAAATTACTCATATTCATGATAATAAACATGTGATAATTTTTGCAAATTTTATTATACACATAGTAAATTGTCCATGTTTATTGGTCCTACTGTATGCCCCATTTTCATTACCGTTTATACTTTAATAAATAATAATTATTTATTGAGTTTGATTTTCAAACTCACCCGTTGTTATTTTTGTAGAATAGGTTTCACCCAACTACTTATCGGACCCTCTTCACAGGAGCAGACTCCAGTTTTACATTTACTTTTAATATTTTTCGGTTTTGTACTAGTTATTGTATTTTTCGTTCATGGTTGGGTAGTTGTTTCTCTATTTTCATATTAGTTTTTTTTGTTTATCTCATTTTCTTTCAGTTGTATCAATTGTATTCCTATTTATGGAATAAAATAATTTTTTTCTTATTTCTATTTGTTATTACTTGAATGCTATTTTACTTTTAGAATATAAAAAAAGTTCAATTATTTTTCTCATGCCCTATATTGTTGGGGTGTAACGCCTTCCGAACTAGGTGTGTGACAATTTTATCCACTTTCAAAATATTCTGAGGACTAATGATACCAATCTAGGGCTCCTAGATGGTATTTGGGAAGTGGGATTTTGTGAGGAAGTGGTTGCGGAATAGCGAATGAAGTATTAGGGTTTGATGGTGTTTGAGCAGAGATGGGCATTGATCGACAGCTACACCGATTCAAATCAGTGGAGAAAACTTTGAATCAGTAATGTTAGGGCGGTGAGGAGCTTCAACCACCTGCTCCTAGGCAAGATACAAGCACACCACTTGCAACAGAAATATGATACAATACTCCAATAGAAATAACCAAGAGAAAATATCTCCAAATAACATAAACCAAATAAAAAATCTCAAAAAATAGAAAATAATGTTGTATAAATAGATCCCTGCTAGAAAACTCTAATTAGAAATTCGAGAAATAGGGCAGTGCTAGAAAGGAAAGAAAAAAAAACATGCTGAAAAATAGAATGAAAATAATAAAAATTCGTTTGGTTCAGTTTTGCTGCTATCAAGAGAAGCGCGGCTCATTGGTGCGATATCGTGTCCCGCATCCCGGTATGTGTCCCATGTCATTCTCCATGGGTAGGAGAGGCATTGTTTTATTCTTTGGAGGCTTATGGATTTAATCTACCACCACTATAACAAAATCACCGCATTATTGTGTCAGAGGTCCATTGCAAAATCTATGCGCACGTCCATTTTTGAAAACTCAAAATCACATACATCATTCCAAAGTCTGTTCTAATAAAATAAATATCTATTATTTTTTAACACAACCTGAGCTGGAACCACACAAAAAAGTGTTTTCTCACAAAGCAAGTCTGGAGCCATTAAAATAGTTTTGAGGGACTAACTCTGGAATGAAATGTGTTGCACGTTGAACCAATTTTCGTGGCAACCTCCCAATAGTTAAAACTGTCGGTCATGATGTCTGAAAATTCCTTCAAAATGGGTTGCACCTTTTGTGGTATTGACTCTTCAGATTCACTTTCTTCTAGAATACTTAATGTTAATACTGTTGTGATCTGAGGCTCAGCTTGAAGCACTAACTTCTCTTCCATATAGGCTGAAATTTGAAACTCCTCTCTGACATCTTCCTTCTCTTATTTGTCGTTATCCATTTCTTCAAATGCTCTGTGCTCAGTGAAAGAGATCATACTCTTATTTGAACAATCTGATGCACTGTGCTCAAACCTATGGATCTTGACATACTTCTAGGCTGGGATAGAGTTAGGAGTATTGGTTGGCTCACATGCTCTTTATTTTGAACTAGCTTCTTCTCAGGCGGGGCCAACTTGGATGCTCCGCTGACTGTGCTATTGTTGCTTGATCTTGGAGTTGAACTCTGCATGTAATGTGTGGTAGTCACCCGGTGATATTGTTTCCCCACCTTTGAAGTTGGTGTCTAAACATCTTGTAATGTCCAATAAGACTGTAATTATACCAAGTTGCTAATGGAAGGTCTCAATCCTCCCAGATATTGAGTGAGGGTGTTCTCCTCGGGCTCCACTAGCCCACACTTCAACATAATTTGCACAAACTTAGTTGTGTACTTCTCAATTGAGAGATGTTGCTGGTGCAAGTGATGAAGCCTCAAGAACATGTCTTGTCTTTAATATGATGGTAGATACTTTCGCTGTATCTCTCATTTCATCTTGGACTAAGTAATAATTTTACTTTTCCCTTCTCGTTGTCGAAGAATCTTCAAGTTCTTCCACACCACAAGAAAGCCTTCGTCCCGAGTTTGATGGCTGTCAATTTAACCCTTTTGTCATGGGGAGCTTTTTTGTACTAAAAAATTTGTTCCACGTTTGGAGCCACTCGATGAATTCATCCAGATCCATGTGACCGTTAAAATTCGGTAAATCAACCTTTACTTCAAGATTTTGGCTTATCTAATATTTAATGCCAAATCTTCGGGGTATAGGTTCTTCATCAATGGAAATTGTCTAGTGAGAGATTCACTTCATCATTTCTTTCTGGCAAGTCACCATTGTAGCTACGAGTGACTTCTTAGGATTTTCTCCCCTTGAAGGCGACAAGTCTCTTTTGTGTTTGAAGGATTTTCCGTTGCATATCTGCCATTGAAACTACCTAGACACCTTTTTATGAATTTTTAACATTGTGTTCTTTTCTCTCGATTAGGTTTCTAGTGAATGTAGGATTGCTATTCAAGGTTGATCAAGGTTTAGTGTTTTGGTATAAAGTATCAAGGTAAATTTTTTGTGAAAGTAAAAATGTTGGATTTTGAAAATTTAGGGTTGAAGCTAGGAATTGCGGTTGGAATGATTTAGTTATGGTTTTTTTTTTTTTGGGAATTTCAGATTGGGATTAAAAAAAAGACAAAACTTCAAAAAATTTAGGGCTTGCCAAAATCTGATACCAGATTATACTGATATGGGGCTCCTATATGGTATTTGGAAAACGGTTTGAAAGGAGGTGGTTGTGGAATAGCAAGGGAATGAAGTATGAGGGTTTGACAACATTTGGGCGGAGATAGGCATCGATCAAATGCTGTCCCGACTGAAATCAGCGGAGAAAACTTTAAATTAGCGAAGTTAGGGCGACGAGGAGCTTCCACCACCTATGCCTAAGTAAGATACAGGCACACCACTTGCCACAAGAATAAGATACAATGCTCTAATAGAGATAATCAGGAGAAAACATGTTCAAATAACATAAATCAAATCAAAAGTCTTAAAAAATAGAATATAACGACATATAAATAATTCACAACTAGAAAACCCTAATTAGAAATTAGACAAATAGGAAAAAAGCTATAAAAGAAAGAAGGACAAAAGTGAACGTGCTGAAAAAAAGAAAAAAAAATCATCCAGTTCGGTTCTGTCGGGATCATGGGAAGTGTGGCTCCCTGCCGCGATATCGCATCCTAGTACGCGTCCCGTGTCAACTAAATTGGCACTCCTCAATAAAGAGTCAGGTAACCATTTTGGCATTTTCCTAGACACTTAATAGATGTAATCAACGATAAAGTATACACTTAATTTTCAAATGGGAAATCCTCATTTTTCACTTTCATCATATAGTAAAACGGATGTTTGGATGATCTAGAGTGGTGCTTCATGATAGCCTTCTTCCTAAATTTCCATTTGTCACTAATATAGTAAAATGGACTTTTGTATGATCTAGCATGGTGCTTCATAAGTTTCTTTTTTTTTTGTTTGATATAATTTTTCACATACTGATTTGTGAATTCTGGTACTCATTTTTATTTAGGTTAATAAGCCGACTCTCCCACTCGCTTCCGGGGAATACTCTTTCAGAACTGGCACTGCAATTGTTTCCATTTTTGCTATTATGGTAACTTATATCCTTGAAATTGTTAGCCTTTTCTAAAATCTTGTTCAAACATTAATCATTTTTACAGAGTAGCATTTTCATGTGCAATTTATGAGAGTATTTGAAAGAAGTATGGGATGTTGCTGTTTGTTTTTTAACAGTTGTTTGACCAAAACCATACCACTTTTTATGTTTTTACTTTCTGCTCGCTTCTGTGTGAATGTGGTTATAATCAAAAGGGCCATTTATATGCATAACACTCAATTCCTATTTATTCACATACCTAACTTCTAAATTTTGTTTTTTACATTTAAATCACCCAAATCTTTCATACTACATAAAAAATACCACCGTTTTAATTTTTAAAAAGTGAAATAGACCTCTTCTTGTATAGGAAGGTGGTATGTATGTAAAAATTGAATTTAGTGGTATGTATGTAAATCTTCCTAATAAAAAACTTGTGTCTTTTATTTTTTGTTGTTGCCTATGGCATATCTTAATTAACAAGACTACAAAAGAGTTCTTTAAATTAAGTGGGTGTAGTGTACGAGCCCTAGGGGTTTATAATATAGGCGACAACTTTGAATCTATTTCTGGAATGCTTTTTTTATTCTGATAGAGTGTTGATTTTAGGGGTGCCGCTGGAGAAAATATTGGACTAAGCATGTAATCTCTGCTTTAGTTTCATCTGAGTGCTGCAATATGGTGCTTTGATGCCCACGATGCAAAGAAATATTAGATTTGTTTGTGAAGGAATTGCAAAACATTGTTAAATGGATCCTTTTTTGTAAACATATGGAATGGATCCTTTTTGTAAACATATGGAAGTAAATATTTTATACGAAGTAATGCATCTTCTCTTAATAACCAATTTTGTTTTGCGGAGATAAAATTACGAGTGCAAGGATAAGGATGAATATCCTTTTCTTAGTAGACGACTCTGTTGACTAATATAACTTATTTTTTCACATGAAATTGGCATTTCTTTGCTTCCTTAAAATTGCAATCTTAACATTATTTATTTTTAATAGATATTAAATTTGAAATTTTTATCTTGAGAATGAAAGATTTTTTGGCCATTCTTACCCATGTGATCTAATATTTGTCGGTATATTTGAACATTTAGTTCTTACCATTTTGATCTTTGTGATGGTGTTGAGTGTACTGTCTTATTTTCTCAGGAAATTACCATAGAGTCTATGATCACCTTTTAGGTGACAACATTGAATGTGGGATTAGATCCTTCTGGTATAACTTGTCTTATAGAAATCAAAACTCTCTTCAGGCTATAAATTGCCTTTTCTCTAAAAGCACATGCACTGAATGGGGAAATTGTTTCTCTTTCATATTTTTCTTTTAGATCATTGAAACTTTTCTCCAATAACTTTGATCAGCTATCATTTGGTTTTATGTTTCAGAGCTTTGCCATTGGATGGGTTGCTGGATCTTGGCCATTGTTTTGGGCCCTTTTCATTAGTTTCATTCTTGGAACTGCATATTCTATCAATGTAAGTTCATATTCTTTTTCACAATCAATTTGTTTATATTACATTGTTGCACTTTTATAAACAATTTCTATTTTCACTGTTTTTTTATTGTATCTATATTTGTTCTTGTCAATTTTTCGATTTTGATGCAGATTCTGCATGGTTGATTCTAACATTGTGGCAATTGGCCAGGATATAAACTGGTTTCTGCTTTATACTAACCAAGCAGGTTGAGATCAATCTAAACAATTTACACTAATCTATTATGATTAGATTAATAAACACGAAAGGTCAAGCTTTAAACAACTAAGTAGCAACACAAGGGAAACAATAAGAAATATCATGAAATATTCCACTTTTTGAATTAAGCCTTTGCTTAGTTTTGAGGAACATGTACTAGGGTCTGTAATTCTCTCAGTTCACTTCATCAGTATATGTCGGGCACACCCTATGGTCAAGTTTTACATTTTTTTTTTAGGCTATAAACTTAGAAATCAGACTGCTGGAAACATTAATCTTTTGGAAGATTTAAATACATACCACTCCATTCCTATATCTTTACATGTCTTAACTCCTATACTTTAATTTTTACATAACAAGTTATCTATGCGTGAAATGGAGTATGCAACTTTTTAGAAGTTAAAATGGTGATATTTTTTATGTTATGTGAGAGAATTGGGTGGTGCATTAGTTAAAAGCAAAATTTACGTGTTAGATATTTAAATTCTTAAGAATTGAGTGTTATATGTGTAAATGTCCTTAATTTTTTTAACTAACTGAAATTAGAATGTTAATGAACGTGTTTGAGAGTTTTTTTTTTTTTTGATGTTTTTGTTTGAATTGACTGATTAAAATACAATTAATTGTAGAATGTCGTGGCCCTTCTTATTTAGGTTGATATTTCAAAACCATGATAGTTAGGAGAAGCTTCAAGGCATATCACTTCTCATGTCGACATGGCTGATTTGCATGGCCAGAATTACAATTAGAAATGATAAATTGAGTAGGGATTTCTGGTGTCAGATGCCAAGGAATGACCACCAACTTAGATGGGTATTTCTCCTATAGGAAAAATTTTTGCTTTAATTGGAGATTTTTGCTATTATAAATTGTTGTATAGCTTCTTAATTTTAGTTTCTCCCTCCCCAAATTTCTGTTATAAAATAGTACTTGAAGCCAATTATGCAATGATGACATAATTAATATGTAAAATATACACAAAAATATTTAGTAAATATGTTTAACTTTTTTCAACTCTCAAACCCAAATATTTCTTGTACAACTCTTTTTTTGTCAATATTTTGCATGCCCCATCATTATTATAACCATTAGCGAAATATTAATGAAATTAAGCTGAACAAACAATTGTCTTTGTGGCTATCATCACCAATGTTATAATGTGTTGCTTCATAGATTGTATGCACCAGGTTAACTTCTGGCCTATTCATGGTTGTGCGGTTCTGTTGCCGGCTCATCACGTAGAGCTGAGTTCCAGCATTGCTAGTTCTATAATAGTTTGAAGTTTATCTCATGTGTCTGGTGCATATGCCTCTCTAGTTGATCGCTCCTCATCTTCATTGGACTTCTCTTTGTAGTGCATAGGATGCCAGAGCTATCTTGCCTCACCATATTTATGATATAGCCGTCTTGATCACTATGTCCTTCATGGGGGTTGCCATATGTGATTCGGCACCACACTTACTAATAAGTTTCCCCTAGCACAACGTGTCTAAGCCAAACATATAACATTAGAAACCATGCAGGACTGCTGTCATGTCTTAACTAATCAAGGAGTTGGGACTTGGGAGTTTCCCCCACATAATTGTAGTCACAAAGAGCTGATGAAGTACGTATCTCGCAACTTCTCCAATTAGCTGTCTTCTCTGCATGATTCATCCTTTATTAGGAATAATAGTTTACACATAAGCATCGGTGTGACAAAGGTTAATATTGAGCTATTCACCATCCTTCTCATCTAGTAGGCTTCACCAGCTACCACTTGGACTATCATCAATAGCCCTACGGATGCTTTCATCCATTATTTAGAAGACAATTGCTGTAAGTATACCTTTTTGGTGGTAAAAGATGATCAGACGGTAGAGATGCACAAATCTAATATATATAACAATGCTCAACATCCAAACAGTAAAGAACTACTAAACCACAAGAGTTCTTATACATCACTCAAGCACATAAGAATGTCCAGTTTGTAAAACTACTTATAAAGAAAAGAAAATAAACACAGAATTAATACTATATGATACTTATTTTTATTTGCTCTTTTTCTTTTATAAGCATACTATCTTCTGTCTGTTATTTCAAAAAAACTTTTTTTTGAAATAAATATTTAAATTACATGTTAAGTTAAACAATAACTTAGTGAATGATTACAGTATCACAATATGTTAGTTTCTTTTATGGATAATGCTCTATCATGCATGTTAAAAAAATGATAAATATTAAAATTTAATTTTATTAAACTTTTAAATATTTGGATTTCCTATAATTAGAAACTTTTTATTATTTTAAAATTTTAAGTGCATCGTCTAAAATTTCTACACGAATGAGCATCATTTTTCTTTTTCCATTTTCTTTTTCAAACTTTGTTATATTTATTTATTTTTTGCACAAGTACAATAACATTTTCAACCAATATCATAAAGGTTTGACTCATATGGCTGATATACATACACTTCACTTGATTTTAATTAGTTTTCTTAATCATTTGAAATATGTATTCGTCTCTTAGTATATATGTGAACCCTTTAAGTAGAATGAAGCCGAACCCTTTAATCATTGAGGTGCCTTTTGGTGTAATCTTTGAAGAATTTCATCAATAACTCCAAAGTTAAGCATGCTCGTGTGGGAGTACTTAGGATGGGTCACTTTCTATGAAGTTACACTAATAGTACAAAATCATTAATCCTTTAGGTTAAAGTGGATAATATATTCACGAATAAGAGTTTGGGTTGTTACAAAGATTATCAGAGCATTATACTTACATGAATATAGGAATATCTACCTAGTGGATGATTCTGAGTTAAAAAAACTAACGAGGACGTAAGTTACTTAAGTGGGAGCCTTAAATAGAATGAAGTTAAACTCTAAAACATTGAGGTGTATTTTTGTGTAATTGTTGGAATTTTATTGAGAGCTCAAATAATAAGTTTGCTCGTGCAGTGGCACTTTTAGGATGGGTGACCACTTTGGAAGTTACACCAATGGGTAAAAATCATGAAGCCATTAGACTAAAGCGGATAATATCTCAATGGATAAGTGTTTGGGCTGTTACAACAGATTTAATATATGGATGTTTTTCAAATCATGTTATAATGCTTATGAAACTTTGGTACGTTAAATGCTCAATTGTTTTTTATCTATAATTATTAGAGCATATATATTTTTAAGCATGAATGTATTTGTATTTTAAAAGACTGAAGTAATTAATCTCTTCAAATCTTCTACAGGTCCTTATATGTTTAAGCCTAACTTTCACCTCCTTTAACTAACAAAGATAACATATAAAGCGCATATAAAAAATCTATTTAAAAAAATAATAACTCTAATAGAATTAACTAATTCTTGTTTAATAATTTTAAAATTATTTTATATCTATTAGTTTGCAAAATTTTCCACGAGGTTCTCACCTTTTCCACAATTTCAAATATTAATTTTTTTCATTTTCACCTTATAATAAAATTTAAGATATTTTTCTTGACAACAACCTTTTAATCTTCATTATTTCTTTTTAATTTTAAAATTCTTTAATTTAATACATACGTCGGTCTTCTACTTTCTTCTTTTGCACAATCAAATATCAGTTTTAGTCGGTCTATTTCCAATCAATTTTACCAAAATAAGTATTGTTCTCCAATCAAGATGCTGAAATATGAGTTATTGTAAATTTGGTTGTTTATATAAACTAGAAGAATTAAAATTTAATAGCTACCACAATTGTTTTTATCCTTCTTGCAAGATCAATATTTTTTTCCCTTGTCTTTCAATCCGAATATTCTTCTGTTTTTCATTGTTGACATTACTAAATAACAATTAATGCTAATACTTAATATCAAATATGTTTAAACAGTGAAATAAAACTATGCTAATACCCTAGTCACCTAGGAGTCGAGTGGGCCCTTGTCCTCCTGGTCTGAACATTAATCTAGCCCTCCTCTCACGTAGGACGTCTTTTGCACGCAACTTTCGATCGGTAGAATGACTTCGTTGCCTGCATGCTAAAACACCACGATGTCACCACTTCTGTCATGCTTTTTACGCTCAAAATGAGACAAATCTCATTTCTTTTGCTTTGAATGAACGATACTATCCTCCTTATCTCCTATTAAAAGAACCGCCTTGTCGGTATGGCCGAACCGATGCCATTTGTTTTTTTTATTTATTTATATTTATATTGATTATTTCTTTAGTTATTACAGTGCCAGTGTAGGTAATCTAAATATGAATTATTTGTAAATTAAAAACATAATTACACTTCAACTATTTCATGAAAAATAAGCATTCCAATTTTGAGAAGTTAATTCCTAGTTATTGATAATTCTAACCCTGAAAGTCACTTACTGATAATTCTAACCCAGGAAGTCATATTTGCTAGCGGTAGTAAACTAAATTCTATGCAAAATAAAAAGTAAAAAATTGGAAAAATAAACTCTTAGGGTTATGGATATAATATTGGGTCATTTATATACATTGCAGACAATTTTTATGTATTTACATATCACACAACTGAACTTTTATATTCACGAACAAAGCACTCAAATCTTTAATATCACATAAAAAATACTAGTATTATCACTTTTTAAAAGTGAAATACACACATAGGTTTAAAGCGCAGTAAAGATGGAAGTTTAGGTGTGAGATATGTATATGCATAAGAATTGTGTGCTAAGTCCCCTATAATATTTCATGCTGACCTGTATAGAACGTCTGTGTATTTTCATGATTGCATATGTAAAAGTCCGAGAACAAATAACGGTTCTTGATCATTCTATTGCAGCTACCGTTTTTTAGATGGAAGAGATTTGCTGTAGTTGCTGCCATGTGCATCCTTGCCGTCCGTGCTGTGATTGTTCAACTAGCATTTTTTCTTCACATGCAGGTTTTTATCGACCATTCTAATGTCTTAAATGTATTTAAATGCGTTCCAAAATTTCTTGGAGTATATGTTTGAATATTTCATCTGGGAAATATTCAGGCTTCTTCCCCTAATTTATATTTAACTTTACTATTTTTGAATCCTGCAGACCTTTGTATTTAGAAGACCAGCTAGCTTCTCGAAGCCGTTGATTTTTGCAACTGCATTTATGACCTTCTTTTCAATTGTTATCGCATTATTTAAGGTAATTATCTGGTTTTGATTTTTATACTAAGCTATGGATTCAGGGCTATTAATTTCATCATTATGTTCTTCATCATTTGCCTCATCTCCAATTATTTGTGTTGGCTTTAGAAATCATTTTTCATCATTTTCTATTTGTTGCTCCATGACATTTCTAAACCTTTTTTTTTGTGTTATTTTTAACCTCGTTACCTTTGGTTTTGTATTTTTGCTTACTAATTCTTCCACATTCATTTTATATACTCAGCTTATTAGTACATCTACTCTTTGTAAAATAACTTTATCATAAATGACCAATATCTTCCATGGGCAATATGTTGATTTTTTAATATAATTGTAAATCACTTAGGGGCTGCTTGAGATTACTTATTTTTGCACTCTATTTTGTTTATTTTTTTTTGTTTTTAATACTAGAGTTAACCAAACAACAATAAACAAAAAAATATTATTACTGAAAAAACCAATAAGCGGTTACAACCAACACACTTGAGAGAAAAAATGCAATAACATGACACATGACACATGACACATAGGTAGGGTAGATCTCAGGTGGTGGTTGTGGTCGTAGGGTAAACCTTGGAAACAACAGGGAGGCGGCGATTATGGGCTGCTAGAACAACAGGGCAGCAAGAGTTGACAGTCCCAACAACAGTAGTTTGCTGTTTGGGGGCAGCAACTGTGAGGGGAAAGCGTGATAGGGACGGCGACAAGTCCGAAATAGGTGGATGTGAAAGCTAAATACTGTAGGAAAATAGTGATTTCCTACAGTTTTGGGTTGTCGTAGCGAAGAAAGTCGGTGGGAAATGATGTGTGATGGTTGGGGAATGGTGGAGGCCGGCTGTTTGGGGTAGCATCAAGTTTGGAAGAATAGCTGACTACTGGCCTTTGTTACCACAGTAAGGTTAGGAGGGGGTTTTGGTAGGAGGGTTGTGTGGGAATGGCATAACGATGTAGATTCTCACAAATCCTGATTAGGTAAATTTATAATATACTTCTCCCAGTCATACTCAACTAGATGTGTCTAATAAGCAATTATATCGGGAGGAATTAACTACTGAGCGAAATCTATGATAACAATTGACTGCCTTGAGATATAACCACTTAGAAGAGGCATTTTCTTCTTATCATTAGAAACGACCTGAATCCCATTGTAGAACGTTCTTTCCCCAAAAATCTAAAGGCGGTTTCCAACAATTCAATTCATCCATCTTTTCTGACCTTCTGTTTGTGGGTACACAGTCGAACTGAATCTAACACTCAAATCACTCCACATGCTCTTCCAAAAGAAGCAAAAAAGCTTTTTATCTTTGAGATTTTAGACCTTTCTAAGTAGGGACAACTTAGGAGATAGGCTATATATCCGAAAATTTTGAAATCCTCTTATCTGAGGTTACTCAATGCTGGTATCAGTTCCTTAAACTCTTGGCCCTTTTGGATATCCAATGCTAGTTTGGTTGATGCTCCTCTCAACGCCTGCAAAATGGTAATTCGGGGCACCATAATCTCATACTTTACATGAATGCCCATTACTTCAGTCCCATTTCCTCCTAGAATAGTATTGTTAACTCAGTTGGAGTCTCTCTCCTGGGTTCAATTGGAATCAATGACATCTCTTTCTCATTGGTTGGTGGTTGGTACTCACCATTTTTGTTCTCACGTTTTTCAGTGTTAACTATATCATTGTCAATTTATTCAACTATTCCCTGCTCAGTGAAATAGACAGTACCCTTTTTTGAGCAATCTGTTGCTTTGCTTCGAAACCCATGGCACTTGAATATTGGTTTGCTCCACCTGTTTGCTACTCTGAATCAATTTCTTCTCACGAGGGGTCGGCTTGGATGTTCCTCTGAGTGTACTCTGGTTGTAAGATCTCGGGGTTAAACCCTACCTGTAATTACGATTTGGTAATTAATCGAAGATGGGGTCTCTCCACTTTTGAAGTTGTGGTATGAATATTTGTTTTGTAGTGAACTAGTAGATACTGACGTTGCATCTTTCATTTCATTTTTAGACCACACAGTGTTCTTGCCTTTTCCCTCACGCTAGCGTATGTGTTTCAAATATTTATATCAAAATAATGCAGTCTTTTTAACTTGTTGGCGGCTAGTTTCATCATTCTATTCGGTGGGATGTCCTGGTACACATAAAAGTTTCACAGTTTGGAGCCACTTGATAAACTTGTTCGATTCGGATTTAAGTGACCGTCTAAATATGACAAATCCACATTTACTTCAAAATCTTGGATTCTCTGATATTTCACGTCAAATAGGCGGGGTAGTGGTTCTTCATCTCTGGAATCAAATGTATTTTGGCTGACCTCTCTGGATGGTCTTCTTTTCTCAATTTCATCGAACTGCTATAACATTAAGTGTAGTTGTCGTTGTATCTCTTCCACATTAAACTTCTTATTGGCGTTCGACACTTATCTCCTCGATGACATGTTTAGAATTTGAGCTTGGGTTAGTGGAAGAGGGTGTATAGGGATGTAGGGTGGAAAAGAAAATTTTTGGTTGATTGGTTTGAAAAATCAGCAAATGGAATGATTTTTGTGTGGGGTGAGGTTGGCTATTGTTGGATGTTAAAAACTCTTAGATAGGACTCGGGTTAGACTAGCTCTGATACCAAATGATACCAGAGTTGACCCAAACAATAATAAACGAACAAATATTATTACTGAAAATGCTACTAGACGGTTACAACCAACACACTTGAAAGAGAAAATACAACAACACGACACACGACTAGGGTGGATCTCAGGTGGTGGTGGTGGTGGTGGTCGTAGGAGGGACCTTGGAAATGTGGCGGTAGAGATTATGGTTAGCTGCAACTATAGGAGTGCAAGGGGCGGCGGTCCCAAAAGTAGTGGTTTGTTGTCTCAGAGCGACAACAGCGAGGGGGAAGCGGGGTAGGGGGGACAATAAGTCCAGAAGAGGGTCCAGAAGAGGAGACGGTAGCTGGGAAAGCAAAATACTGTAGGAAAATAATAATTTTCTACAATTTTGAGTAGCAGTCGCAAAGGAAGTGGGCGAGAAGCAAGGTGGGAAGGTTGGGGAATGGTGGAGGTCGGTTGTGTGGTGTGGCAACAAGATTGTGAAATTGGGTTACAACAACATGTGTTAGGTGGGGGTAGGATGAGAACAACAACAATATAAACAGCGGGGTAGTAGTCTCAGGTGGCTGGAGACCGACAGGCAGATGGCTGAAAAGGTGAAACTGGGGTTGTTGTTGGGTTGGGAAACTAGTTGGCTGCTGGGAAGGGAATACAGCTGGAGGAACCGGAAGACAACCAAAGAGCTGTCTGGGGGTTCCTGTGGGGAGGAAGGATGGCAGGGGAAACGAAGGGGGAATGCGGAGGATGGAAGAGTCGGAGATAAATACCATCGCAGGAACAAGCTACAATTGGAGCACCACTTCCCTTGGAAGGAGATCACCTCCTCATACGAGCTAAAGTTGGAGCACCACTCATCTGTAGATACAACCCTATAAGAGAGAAAGAAGACGTTGATGGCTGTCTTGACAGAAAATATGCACCAAAAAAGTGCCCTCAACTCAAAAAACAACACATAAATACTACTAGTAAATAACTAAGAGAGTTGGGATCCCCACTCCTATTGGGCAACAACCCTATTCCCATAGGCCGACCAACCACTTTCTCCCTATAGCTGAACCAGTTTAACCTTCTTTCTAACCGTCTAATTCAATTGAGGGGAGGGAAACACCCTTTATCAATTTATGCTTTAATTTAAAATAAAACATGTTTGGTCAGTTAAAATAAAATAAGGTTGTGTTTGAAAATACTCAAAACATTTAAAGATTATTTTGTGTGTTTTAAAAAATATATTAATTTCTTTTCAAAAAATAAAAATAAAAAATATTTTTAAGAACACACTAAGCAAACTTGTTTTTAAAAATAAAATTTAATAAAAAAGAAAAAAATAAAATTGATCCCAATTCCTTAGCCTTCTTATTAATGCGTAGCTTTGTTTTGTTTCAATGATTTTTTTCCTTATCAATTCTCAAATAAGGCTGTGAATTTAGCTCGAAGATCTTTAGTCGCTTGAAAATTAATTTGAATTTTGGCTCGGATCGAAATAAGTTAGTCGAGCTACGAGCTAAAATTTTGGATTGAATTTTTTCGAGCCGATTTTGATCTGGCCTCAACTTGGCTCGAAATCGGATCATTAACAATCATAGTGATGTTAGGGGTTGTGAATTTAGCAACTTCAGCTTGAAGATATTTGATCGTTGAAAAATTGATTCAAATTTTGGCTCAAATCGAGATCAGATCAAAATAAACGAGCCAAGCTATGAGCTAAAATTTTGGATCAAATTTTTTTTGAGCCAATTTTAAGCCAACCCTAGCTCGGTTCAAAATTGAATCGTTAACAACCAACAACAACAACAAAGTCTTAATCCCACTACGTGGGGTCGGCTACATGAATCATTTTTCTCCACTGCGTCCTATTTAGTGTCATATTTTCATTTAGTTCTAGTAAATTAAGATCATTTTTAATAAATGTCATGATTTTTTCGACAAGTTTTACGCTGGTTTTCGACTACCTAACGCAACCCTCCACTTTTCGCATCCGAGCTTGGGACCGACAACGACAGTGTTATGAATCGTTAACAAACCTACCCTCAAATTTCTAAATATTTGGTTTAATTGAAATTTAATAAAAGTCAACTTCAATTATGCTAGATATTCTTTATTGCTTGGAACTCACAAGGCCCTACTCTATTTTTACGTCTTTGTTCAAACTCTAAAAGCCCTTCCTTTTTCTATTTCCTTGTTCTTTTGTATTATTGATTACTAAACCTATAATACATATATATTGCTTAATCTTACTAAATTATTGACCAATAATTATCAGCTTCATATCCACTAATCATGTACCAACACTTATTGATGCGTGCTATTTATAGATCATGAGAATTCTTCTAAAACATACCAAAAAAAAAAATGAAAACATTTGAATAAAGATAAAAAAGTATATGAACTAGATATTTTTTCTCAATTTTAATTTTATTGTGGTTGAAAGCTTTTTTACAACGC